GGGGTCCGAACACTTGGTCCATAACTCAAAACACGCTTGTATGTAATAATATGAAACTCGGTACACATGTTGATCTCATCGTTTCATCTATACCTCCGCGCTCTTACTTTTTACCCCAGCCCAGGAAGTCGGCTATTGAGGTTTGTTTGTAAAAACGCTCGCAATGGAATGTCAAATACTCCTCCTAGAGCTTTGATCCACATTCGACGAAACTCGGTCAGCGTGAAGTCAAGACATTGAGGATGAAAGTTTGCGAGGGGATTTTTGATATCTCGAACGGTTTGTCCGTGGCGAGGAAACGAAATCATGGCGAGAAACGTGAAACAGGAAGTGTGTTATAACTTCAGCATACATTAACTGATCTTGATGAAACTTCAGCAGTGTGTTCGCTGTAAGAGGACGATCACATGGATGTGACTATTGTGAGTCAAAGTTATAGCGCCACCAACTGGCAGCAGGAAGTGTGTCACTTTCAAAATGCTTAGATATCACCCTTTTATTTTTACCCGATTTGCTTCAAACTTCATATGTATAATGTAAACATACGGCAGATGTAGACCTGTGAATGGATTCTTGATATCTTTGAAACTGTTGCCGTGGCGACGCATCAAACTTTACCCTTCTTTTAGGATGCTTTTAGGATGCTTTTGAGACCCTTAGCATGCTTCAAATTGCATGAAACTCGACAGACACATCACATTTATTAGCCAGTAGACATGTGCAAAGTTGCAGAAACGGGCGTGGTGAGGGCTCAGTAGCGCCACCTTTGACAAAAGTGGGGTGGTTAGTTTTAACTAGAGTTACAAAAATTGGTATGTATATTGTACTCCTCGAGCCGGACAACTTTCTAATTGACACTTATTAGCTAGGACCCACAGAAACTCAGATATTTTTGTTTGAATATGGCCACTCTGAGCCTTTGGCTGGCTGGCTGGCTGGCTGTCTGTGTGTGTGTGTGTGTGTGTTGTGCAGGGGGAGGGGGCTTAACCATTTCACTGCTGTGTGTATGACCTGCATAAAGAAAATACATTTCTCAAGCCTGGTATTTTTTAAATAAGTTTTTATTTTTATTTTTTAATAAGTAGGCATATAACTAGTTTAATTGTAGTGAATTGACAATAGTTTTATATAATTAGTTTATTAATCAGATTAACTTGGTCAATAAACTTGGTCTGAAAAATTTGGTCCATAAATCAAACACACTTGCATGTAATAATATGAAACTTGGTACACATATAGATCTCATCGTTTCATATATAGCTTCACACTCTTACTTTTTACCCCAGCCCAACAGGAAGTTGGCTATTTAGGGTTGTGTTTAAAAACACATGCAATGTAATTTAAATTATTGCTCCTAGAGCACTGAACCAAATTCGACGAAACTCGATCAGCGTGAAGTCAAGACATTAAGGATGAAAAAGTGCCACGGGATTTTTGATATCT